ACTGACTTTCTTGGCCAGGCTTGCTTGAACCACAGTCTTCAGAAACCAGCCTTCTGAGTAGCTAGAATTACAGGCATGAACCATAGGTGCCCAGCTAAATTTGTAATTTTTGCAAGTAAAATGTACAACCCTATAAGGCATTCTGACTTCTCCATTAAAAGTTGTGCATATCATAATTAAAGGGAAAGGACATTTGTATTTTAAGAGACCTGTGACTGTGACTGCCTTTTCCTATTTACAGAAAGAAAAAGACATTCAGTTTGTCTTTGCATTAGTAAAAAACCATGAAGTATGAATTGTGGGATAGTTAATGTAAATTGAAGTTTTATCTAATAGAAGAAACTCTGGTAATACTATTTTCATTTAATTTTCTACTTTTTTCCTCCATTAGCCATATGCAGAAATGAATGTACTGACATATACATTTACTATCTCTGATGAATCCATGATAATAGAAAGCAGACCATGGTAGAAAACTTGGCTTCCAATACACTCTCAGCTTTCATCTCAATAACAGGATACTAGATAAGTTTTTTTAAACTTCTGCTTTTTAATCAGAAGGAGCATATGGACTCCTAAGTCAAAAGAAGTGTTCTGAAATCCTTAGGATATGCGGTTGCCATTTAAGTGGGATTTAACTCATGGATAGAATTTAAATTGAGCATAATTTATAGAATAAGTGGTCATTAATTCATCCAATCAATCAATATTTCTTGAGCATGTAATGTTTTTGTTTGTTTAATAAGAATGAATGAAAGTATCTTATAAATATTATATGCTGCTATTCAGTTTTACTGTACGCAGAAGTGTTATTTTAACCTGATAGTTTTTTTGTAGAAAGGAACATAATCAAGGAAGTTAAAACCACAAACAGCATTATCTCTAGATGAAAATTAAAAAGAATATCAGTCAAGATAAAAATAAAGTGTTGCTTTTTTTGTGAACAGAGCTGCAATAAACATGGATATATAGATGTGTATTTCTTGTTTTGGATATATTCCCAAGAGTAGTATTGTGGGATCACACAGTAGTTTATTTTTAGTTTTATAGAAAACCTCCATACAGACTTTCATAGTGGTTGCAGTATCTTACATTCCCAACAGTGTATGAGGTTCCTATCCCCTTATCCTCTCTGGTATTCGTTATTGTTTCCCTGACATTTGTTGGAAAGAGTATTAAGAATCTCACTAAAAGCTGCAGAACAATAGGGGATTGACCAGGGCAGGAAAAATCCAAAGTATCAGAGAGTTGTTAATCTGAATATAATATATACTTGTGTGAAAAACAATGGTGAAACTCAATTAATATATACATTCAAAGATGGGTAGTACAACAGCCTCTGTCGAGGGACAGGAGGGAGGAGGGTGAATGGAGAGGGTGGACAAGGGTGAATATGGTCAAAGTACTTATGTGTATATATGTATATGTGTATATATATTACAACTTACTGTAATAATTTATTAATACTTTGAACAAATGCCATACAGCAGTAAATAATTTTACCTGGGATAACAGATGTAATTTTTCCATCTGTTAATGTAGGAATTACAGAGTTCTTAGAAGTATGTTTTCCACATTGCTAATCAACATTGGGATTTCAGAGAGAAATAGCCAAATGCTATCAATGTTTTTGAAAAGTGCCTATTAATTTGAATCCATATTTATTCAGACAGCTGAATAAAAATTTATAACTTCCTTAGGAAAGCCTTTATAGTGAAAATATATAGTATAAATTATGTTTAATGGCTTAAAATTCTTAACAGAATATTTTATGCTAACTTCTGAAGTTATTTATAATGGCATACTTTAATCTTTAAAACAGAATTCTACTAGCTGATTCCTCTTAAAGTTTTCCTCTAATTATCCTGAATTGATTGTAATTATAGTGATTTTTGCTTTTCATAGCCTTTCAATTTATTATTCTATTTCAAGTTTTCTGTTTCCCTTTTTTTTCTTTAGTAACCTACTTACTTATACTTCCAATCAGCCTTTAGTGTAGTAGCAAGTTTCATTTTTTACTGATCCATGATGTCTCTTGGGCACAAGTTTCCTATTGGGAGCAGAGGTGTGTTGATGAAAACATCTAATTTGGGTTGTTATTCTTTGAATTAGATTGTCAGTGTTTTTATACAAATAAAAAAGCGAGAGGTACTGTGTTAATTCAGTCAGCCAAATTACTACAAATTCAATGTCTTACAAAGCCTCAAATGGGTAGAAATGGAAAGTAATGGGGTCACTGTTCTCAAATTTCAACATATATTAGAAATAATATGAGAAACTTTTAAGGATTCTTATTTCTATGTCAGTTCCCATTAACTTAAAATATTTGGTCATAAGCCAAATATTATGGAACTACATAATGGTAGGCATGTTTTTAAGGGTTCTCCAAATGATTGTCTTATACAGCAAAATTTCAGAACCAGTTCCATAGATCTGTGGTTGGCAAACTGATGTACAGGCTGTATCTAACTGTTGACTTGTGTATATTATAGTAAAGAAGGTTTAAAAGTAATAAGTAGTTTACAGAAAAAGAATATATTTCAGAAACGTATTTGGCCTGCAAAGCCTAAAATATTTACCTTTTTAGACATTTACAGAGTTTGTTGTCCTGTAATACAGATTTATTTGGTGTATGCAGCATTGGTTCCACATGAAAGCTTTATAAAACTGCACAATTTTAGACCCTCTCCTACACTTACTGAATCAGTTCTGCATATTAATAACATTCATATAAATAACAGAAGTCGAGAAGCACTAAGACATAACATAATTTTATCAGTGCTTCTCTAAGCAGCCACCAAAGATAAAAGGTTGCACAGGGAATGAAAGCTACTGAATGAAATAGCCCATATTAAATTGTGATCTGCATGTATCAAGTAGGTTTTCACAGATACAAGCAATGAAATTTGTCCTAAATAAGATATAAATGGTTCACTGTTGCACCAGATTGTGCCTTTTTCCTATTGTTTGTTTAGCAGCATTATTATTAGCAAAGTTTCCTCAGTGAACATCCAACTCTAGAAAGTTTCCAGATCTTACAAACAATATAGAGAGATAGAGTGCCAGCTTTGAAATTGGACAAGAAAATGAAGTTGCTTTCTAATCATTCTGAATGTGTTAACATTATTTCTCTTCCTTGTCTTTAATATGTAGATGCATCATCTGATTCAGAGTACTGAGAACATTAAATTAAATAACATGTTAGAGTGACTATGAAAGTATCTAAGATATGAAAGTTTTATCAATGTTAGCTACTGTCTTTTGTCACTTCCATTTTCTTTTAAATGGTTTCATTGAGACAAGATGACATCTGTAAAGCCAATAGAACACACACCATACTCTTACAAGAATATTATGCATCCTTTAAAATGCTGTTACTAACACTTATCAAAAAAATAACATTTGTAGCAAAAGGATGGAATAGAGATCATCATGCTAAATAAAATAAGCCAATACCACAAAGGCAATTATGGCAACTGTGGAAGTTGGAACACTTACTCATGCGAGTAGAGTGTTAGGAAGGGAGAAGGGAGAGGGAGAGGTGGGGAGATAGGAGAGCAATAAAAGGGGGCAATGGAGAAGTGAATACGATCAAAGCATATTATATGCATGTAAGGAAATGTCATAACGAAACCCCTTACTGTGCATAATTAGTATATACCAGTAATAACTATTTTGTCCTAGATTTCACAAAAACCACCTGGGAAAATGAATAAATAAGCTTATGTTTCTTTTTGTTTCAGTTTTCTCACTTTGGAAATTGAGATGCCTGCCCTATTTCTGCCCATTGGAATAACTCAGATCATTTCTTATTTTAATAAAGAAAAATTAATTATAAAGATTTTTGTGCTATAAGTAAAAATGTCACTTATTCTTTCTATAAATTCATGAATATATTTCTAATAATTTTATTTCAGACAATAATTCAGATATTAACAATAAAAATTAAAAATCACTCTTTATTGCACATTTACAATATACTTGACAATAGTCTAGTTAAGTGAATCATTAATTACAGTTTGGGCATGCATTACTCATTTAGATGACTAAAATCAGTTATTTTTTGTTTCTTCAAGTGATTCATCTTGAAATTGGAAAGGGTTAATATGGCTCTCTAAAGCATCTGCTGTTAGGGGTTAGTTTCATTTTCTTTGTTATTCTGTTGCTTATTACAATTAAAAATCTTGTACTGACATATTTTTAAATCTGTACAAAAAGGATACTCAGTTTTTGATAGGAGTAAGGGACATAAGTAGAGATAATTGGAAACCTAAACAATATACCCTGCTAGATTAGTTCCCAGAGAACATCATTAATCTTTAATGCATCTCATTTGCCTAAGTAGTGATTGACTAGCTTATCAATAAAGATACTACCTACCCAGATTATCATCTCACTTTATACTTTCACTATTTTTAAGTGGAAGGAAAACTGCAGCCTTTTACAATCAAAGTATCAAAGTAACCTTGTAAAATAAGATTCCCAAATCCCAAACCAAGAAGTATAAAATTAATAGGTCATTGTTGCTAAATTCTGGATACATTAATTATTGAATAAAGTTTAGTTTGTTACATGAAAGACATTAATAAATAAATCCATTAATCCCAGGCTTTCTATAAATGCCAACAATCATATAAATTGTCGCATATAACAACATTATAAACACATTTTAAAAACACATTTTAAAAATGTTTAAGCAATTGTTATTTACAACATTTACGATTGTTCAATTGTAGTAAGATATGACAATTCCTAAAACGGAAAGAAAAAATAGCAAAGAAAGCAGAAAACAATGAATCCAATGACCCAATTCACTGAGTAAATATAGATGATCACCATATCCATGTCAAACCACCATCCACGGCTATCGTCCTCGAAATGCAGATAGTCCATCCTGTGTGCACCATGTGGGAACTGCCTTCGTGTAACTGGAGCTGCACGTCTATGGAAACCTAGAAGACAGGCAAAAAAAGTTCATTCCATTCAAATACATGCTCAAGAAAGAAGGTGCATTATGAATACAAAGCCATCATTGATTTCATTGATTGGTATGTATCTGACAGTTTCTTTGTAATTAAGTACATCTGTATATGTATATATACATATATATATATATATATATATCTACAACTACTCTGTAGAAAGTATATGAAAGTATATATGTACTTTATATATGTTTTTGTGTAACTACTTTAAAGATATATATATCAAGTTATAAAATGTATGTATATGTTATGATTCAACAAAGCAGTTTATGAATACAATGCATCTTGATCATTGTCACTCCTTTCAATATTTTCACTCACCCCTCCTGATCTACCCCTTCCTTCACTTTTCTTAAATTTGTAGGGAATGCATTGAACTTTTGACTGCATTCTTGAGCTATCAAAAATACCATCGAGGATGATATGTTAAAGAAAGGGGCAGCAGACAAACCTAGCACTATTACTACCTGGGCTACATTATAAAGGGCTTTCAATATCAAATTTCTCATATTTGCCATCTAATCACTACTTTTGAAGATTAATTGTAATTCTTTTCACATGAAACATTTTCTATATTTAATTTTCAGTTATTAATCATTATACAATTGGTATTGTAAGTACTGTTTGTAACTTCTAGTTACTGGCTTTTTATGCCTTGAGAATTTCAGCTACATGAACAAAGTTCTATGACAAAAATATCTCTTGGTTTAGCCTTGAATATATATGCTGGACAAGCATAACAGTACTCATTTCAAGACATTTGGCTTTGATTTTCCATATATCAAAAATAATGGTAAAACACGGGTAACAACCTACTAGAATCTAGATAGGTATATAAAAAGCAAATCTCACAAGTAGTTTCTTATTGTATTTGTGAGAAACATTACATTCTATGAAGTGTTAAAATTTCTTTGTGCTCATAAATGTAATTATTTAAACCCTGAGTATAAATATGTCCACTGGCTATCTTCTTTTGTTGATTGGTGTATGTAAAATATAAAGTATTTACAAAATGAAATAAGCTTTTAGTGGTTGATTATCTTCTGCCTTTTACTTATCCACCACTTTTAAGTATATTAGAGTTAGAGATGGATGCAATACATAAAATAAGCAGAAAATACATAATCCTAATACTTGCTGGCAACTCTGGTGATAAAAATTCTGTGAAGCTCTACCTCCAAGCAAATTCTGAATAATACCTTTTGAAATTAAGAGATGTTAAATGTTATGCTCAAAGTTAGGCTGCTTATTCAGACAGATGGATTACATTAACCTAGGCTATCAGTTACAGATAAACCTCTTCAATCAATAATGATACTATTTTCAAACATAAACAGCAAAATAATGTTTTATTTAGATTTAAAACATGAAAGAAGGACACCAGACCCAAAAACAACAAATCAACAAAAGGTTGGACAAATGAGACTTCATGAAACTGCAGAGCTTCTGCGTGGCAAAGGACATAGCTAGCAAGATCAATAGAAAGCCTATGGACTGGGAGAAGATCTTCACTAGCCATACAACAGACAAGGGCCTCATATCTAAAATATACTTAGAACTCAAAATATTAAATCACTCAGAAACAAATCCTCAAAAAAACAGCCTCCCCATTAAGTGGGCTAAAGATTTAAAGAGAGACTTCTCTGACAAGAAAATAAGAATGACCAATAGACACATGAAGAAATGCTCAACTTCTCTGGCCATAAAAGAAATTCAAATCAAATATGGTCATATGTACATAGCTTTTGACCTTTTCTGCTTGTCCTAGACATATTCTAGTTATTGCAAGTAAGGGAAACCATGGGACCTACATTTCTTTGGGCCTGGCTCACTTCACTTAATATAATTTTTTCCCAAGTTTTTCCATTTCCTAACAAATGGGTTGGTGTCATTCTTTCTGATGGAGGCATAGAATTCATACACACACACACATACACACACACACACACACACACACACACACACACACACGGCCTGGCTCACTTCACTTAATATAATTTTTTCCCAAGTTTTTCCATTTCCTAACGAATGGGTTGGTGTCATTCTTTCTGATGGAGGCATAGAATTCATACACACACACACACACACACACACACACACCACAGTTTCTTGAGAAAGGCATCAAGGAGGAAGATACTAATGCAGTTCCAGAAGGTGATGTTGACCCACTCTGGTTTATGCAACAACCTCTTATCAGTTGATACTGATCACTAGTTGGTTAATTTCTGCTAATTCTGATAAGAGGAATTGAATGGAAATTTGTTGATAGGCATTGGATCAATAATCATATTACAAAAATTACCAGAATATGAATCATGGTGATTATTTGCAGGTTCCACTATAAAGTGATGGTAAGAAAATACTGAGTTGATTGTGCTATTATGAGAATTAAATGAATTAATATATGTAAAATACATGCCTGGCCTTAATAAATGTTCAATAAGGGATTTTATTATTTTAATGATTACTTTCAGTAGTTTTAATATGAGAAAGAAGCTGTTTTTTCCCGTGAGTGCTTGATTTTCATACTGTGTTTTTTTCTGATTGTCAGTAATCTTACTATATTCTTTGTTTAAACAATTGACTATATGACTATTTCCTTCAAGTATGAGTCAATTTTCCTAAGTTAGTTAACTATAAATCAATTGCTAATAGTTTCACTATTGCATACCAAAACTAGAGAATTCATTAAACATTATGGAGAAGATACGTGCTATCTTTTATTGGATGAAGATTTAAAGATATTTTCAGATATGCTTGTGTTAAAGAAACTCTTAGTGTAGGACTGTTTCTCAAATATTAAATAAAAATTTCATCCTCAGCGTAGACAATTTATTTGCTGTTTAACTTAGAGTTGGTTTTCCTTCAGTAAGAAAATTACATAGTAAGGAAAGGATTTGTCCTGGTAGGTTCAGCTTCTGAAGGACACAAACAATTGATTTCTCTAGAAACCAATTATTGCTCTATATATAGTCAAGGAATAGCATACCTAAATCATTATAAATACCAACACAAACACACAGATACACAGACAGACAGACAGACAGACAGACAGACACAGACACAGACACACACACACACACACACACACACACACACACACACCAGGTCATTCCAGAATGAGATCTGTATTGGAATTAATACACTAGAATTGACTTTTTATAGACTCAACAAAACCTACAACTTATTTTTGGCTGGTAATTATTATTTGATATGAATACAAGGTCTAAAAAGTATCCAATTTTTTTTTGGGTCCGGTCACGGGGCCTAAACTCTGGGCCTGGGCGCTGTCCCTCAGCTCTTCAGCACAACGCTAGCGCTCTACCACTTGAGCCACAGCGTCACTTCCGGCTTTTTTCTTTTTTGCTTATGTGGTGCTGAGGAATCAAACCCAGGGCCTCAGGCATGCAAGGCAAGCGCTTTACCACTGAGCCAACTTCCCAGCCCCAAAGTATCCAATTTTTAAACATTTTGTTATGCTGATTTAAAGAGTACAGTAAAGATACATGAGATGTGTGGGTACGTCCTCTATTTCTGTGTGGAAAGAGAACACTACAGAGGAAACTCTACTTTTAAAGGCATCTAAAGACTTGGTTCTGTGACACTATTCCATTGACAATACTCATTGCCAAATCAAAGTTTTTTAGCATTTTTAGCATACGTTTATATGCTATTATATGAATTCAATTAGTAGGTTTTTAAAATTTGAAGTATCTTTTAAAATACATTAAATCGCTAGATTTGTCAATATTTTACCATACCTGGGGTAAATCCTTCATGAACATATTGGCTTTTATATCCAGGCTAATATTGTTATTACTATTTTATATGGTATTTTATGCATATCTTAAATGAGAGATTGGCTTATAATGTTATTTTATGATGTCTTCACCTGGTTTGTGCATCATTCTTTTTTTTTGATTTTTTTTATTTTATTTGTGAAAATACTGTACAGAGGGGTTACAATTGCATGGGCAGGATAATGCGTACATTTCTTACCAAGCATTGCAGCCTCCTCCTTTGTTT